TTTGAAGGTAAAATATGGTGTCAAATTATAACTTGTGTGCCTGTGATTTCTAGTGAGGCTAAATGTTTTTTGTTTTTCAAATGTCTCTTGATGTTTTGTAATGTTTTCTGGTAAAAGTGTTCTCAGGACCTGGAATCAGTCTACCCTTTTATGGGCTGGGTATCCTTATGTGAGCCACCTTACTTTTCTAAATTGCAGTGTTTTCTTCCATAAAAAAAGAGATAGTCTTAGTACTACATACCTTCTAGGGCTATTGAGAGGATGAAATGAGATAATGCAGACAAAATGGTCCTGATAATGCCTGGCATATGGGGAGCATGCAATAAATTGCAGCTTTTTTCCTTGCCCTAATTTTCTAAGTTGTTTGTTGTTTTTCTATGTATAAGAATCCCTATTTCTTTAGTAGCAACACCACTCCACATCACACAGGATAATAATAACAATAGCTGTCATCTATTGCACAGGTATATAAGCCAGGCATTGAGAAATTTGTGTGGCACACAATATCTCATAAAACCCTAGGAACATCTAATTCCTATTTCTTCATCTCTCTTGTATCTAAATAGTCACTGAGTACTATTAGATCACAAATTTGGTCCCAACTGTCCCTTCTTTCTCCAATACTATTTAGAACATTACCACCACTACTCAGGACTAATGAGATGTCCTCTGAATTGGAGTCTAATTCCAGACTGCTTTTCTGCCCTCCAATATCTTTTAAAGACACAACTGCCAGAAACATTGCCATTTTATAATTTCAGTAGAATGGCAGAAGCAGAATAACTTTCATAAAGCTCAGACTCTTTGATGGCTCCCAGTGACCTACTGGCTGGCATTTGAAGCCCCCCACCATCTCTGTGGTCTATCTTTTCAGCCATGGCTTTCCTACTTCTACTCTTTCCCCATCTTTACACACACACTGGTATATACTCCAAATACATATGCTCTTGTTACCCTGCTCTTAACCTGTGCCTCTATTCACTTATTCCACTAACTGAGCAACCACTATGTTCTGGGCACCCTCCTCTAGGCAACTCTTCTTCTCCTTGCATACCTTACAGGCTATGTTTATCCCTCCCACTAAATGATAAGCCCATGGAAGCCAGTTGTTATTTTTCTTCCATTATAATTAATCACTATTTGTGGACTCAAAAACTGTGTTGTTTCCTCTTTGCGAGTGCTATGGGTCCAAGGGCTCAGGTGAAGGGAAAATATTTAACACTGAAGGTTGTTTGCTGGGAGCCGCAATAACTAGTAAAAGTAAGGTAAAAGGGACCTGAAAACAGGAAAAACACCAGCTGGGAGCAAGGCCCCAGTAAAATGTGGCCATGACGGAGGCAAAGCCCCACGGATCCTGTTGACGGACCTTCCCTAACTTTGAAGGATTGTGTGCATAGGCTTGAGAATGTTCCCTCTTTAATTGAGATAATAGATGCGCAAATGGATGACGGCATTTGACAGCAAAAATTATACCTAGGCATAATGGAGGTGAGATTGCAGCAAAAGGGGTGCCCCTTAGGGTGTGTAAGGATGTTTTTCAGTAACAGCAGGAGGCCAAGAAAAAAACGAGTCGACCACTTCCTCATAAACAACAGACCCCAGCTGAGAGCTGGTAGAAAACAACCATTTGAGATAAAAAACAGGTTAAGATATTTTAGGATTAAATAAGTAGTTTAATGAAGATAGAATTTAGAATATTAATAATAAGATAGTAAGATAAGATAAACTAATAAGATAAGAGATACATAATAGTATAAGTGATAGTTAAGAAAATATAGGGATATAAGGATAGAAATAAGATTAATAGAGATAAATATATAGTAGTAAGTAAATTAAATAAGACTTAGGGTTAAGGTTTAGCTTTATAGGGTAAGGATATTATAGGCCTATAATAGTAAATAGTTATAAGAAAGTTAGAAAGAAAACCAGGATGTTCATAAATGTTTGACTTAAGAAAAACACCATCTGTGGTTGAAATTGTTAAAAGTCAATTATGAGTGCAAAAAGGATGTACGTGGGCGTTTGGTTAGCAACATAAGATACATTTGTGGGTACAGGGCTGAGTGGAAAACCTATATAAGCTTGTGAAAAATAAATAAAAATTGGCAGAGTCTTGAACTCTCCCCAGGAAAAAGGATCCTGTTGTTTTCGTCTTTTCTTTTTCGCCGCTTCCCGATTCCCCCTCTCAAGCCCTGACTCTCTCCTGGAGCTGGACTCCAGCAGTTGTTCAAGCAGGGAAACAGGGGGGTATGTTGGAAACACAGTGGCTTTTTGCAGAAATTTTTATAACTAAGATAACTAAGAGACAATGAGGGGACAGGAAAAAGAGGAATAAGTGATGGGAAGATGCTGACTTTTAAGTTCAAGAAAATTACCCTATGTTTCTAGGTTGGCTATCTGCTTGGATAGACATGTCTCCCTAGAGGAAAGAAATATGAGATGATGGAGGAAAAGAAAAATTTATTTTTCATTGGTAATCTCAGTTATTTGTCCCAATAACACAAGAAAGTAGATGTTATTATTCCTACTTAAAAAATAAAGAAATTGAAGTCTAAGAATGTGAAACAATCGCCTAATGTCATACAGTGAGATGATGAAAGTTTTATAATTTCAACCCAGTCTTTTTGACTCCAGTATCAATCTTATTTCCTATACACAGGTTGATGGCTAAAGAAAGAAAAAACTGGCTGGGAGTGGTGGCTCATGCCTGTAATCCCAGTACTTTGAAAGGCCGAGGCAGGAGGATCCCTTGAGCCCAGGAGTTGGAGGCTGCAGTGAACTGTGATGATACCACTGTACTCCAGCCTGGATGACAGAGTGAGACTCTGACTCAAAATAAAATAGGAAAGAGAAAAAACTGAAACCTTAAATTGGACTGTTTCTAGTCCTCAAATCCCATCATGAGCTTACTCAACAGTTCTCATGAACACCTTCTCTAAATCCCGATGCCAGGATCCCCATGGATCTCCTCAAGCAGCTCAGCTCTGACAACCTACTCGGGCACCAGAACAGGAGCTTTCATAGTGAACGTGCTGCATTATAATTTTCTCTCTTTTGCTTCACTGAAGCAAAGGGAGAGATCTCCAAGCACATGGATCCTTCTGGCCCATTACCCTTGGTAACAATGTTAATCCTTGAACTCCTCACCACCAAAGAGCAAGGACATGCCCAGAGATATTCAGTGACTGATGACAGCATTACAAAACATCTAGATTTCCTGGTGTATTTCTTTTTTCTTCCTTTCACCCTGTCCTTTTCGTGTTAAGAGAAAAAGCTTTGTTGTTCAGATGCCTTTCCAAAAATAGCAAGCAGTTATTATTTAGGGAAATCCAGGCAAGGATTAAAAGAAACTTTTCTTTCCTGGTATCATTTGTTGTGCTTTGTTTCTACACCCCCACTGCACCTTCACTAGTTCCTGTCTACCCACACTTTGATTTTAATCCACTTTTCATCATTTGGTTTAGCATGACTTGATTTTAATGGGCTATTTTGTAGTGTTTGTCATCTGTTCCTTCCTTTCCATCTTATTGAGGCCATGTTCTTTTGGCACCCATTTGCTGAGCATCTACTATGCGCCCAGCTCTGTGCCAGCAGCTGGTCCTCATCATTTCATTTGTGACAATCTCAATAGCTTCTAAATGGATCTTTGTGACTTAATTTACTTCTTGAATCCATCAATGACATCCTGCTGCCAAGTCAATCTGCCTAAACTCAGCTTTGTAAATAGTACCTTGCACCACTTACCCATAAGTAGGATTAATTCCCTACTTATCGGCCTCTTCTATTTGCCCTCTACATGCCATTTTTCTTCCTCCATGTACACTGTGAAATCTAGTGCGTTCTATTCATTTGTTCTCCAGCATGCCATGTGCATTTCAGATCTCACTCCGTGTTCACTTAATAAATGTTTGAAGGCAGACTCTATCCCTAGGGCAGCAGAGGATGCTGCCTAAATAATAGGTTCTAGTTAAGGAGGAGAATTGACCTAACAATCACACTCAAGAGGAGTCTGAATGTCTCAGAGTTAGGGATGAGAAGCAACACTAACCATGTCTGTCCTAAGAGGTCTAACTGCCTAAGGGACCTTGGGCCCCTGGACCCAAAGTGTGGCTAGAAAATGAGTTTCTTAGGCAACCTTGCTAAATCCTGAAACAAGAATTCCAATCAATTCCCTCTTTCATTCACTCAGTTGTTCAACAAAATAGTATTTGAGCCTCACCTATGTGCTAGGCATTGTGCTGAGTGCGTGGGGGAACAACAGTAAGAGAAACAGGTTCCTAACTTCATGGGACTTTTAGCCTAGTAGAAAGGACACATTTAACATATCACCAAGTATAACAAGTGAGTAAATAAAATAATAAAAATAAAGTAATGGAATAAGTGTTAATGAGAAGAAAAATAAAGTGTTATGATGCAGCAGGGTAAGAAATCTACTGGAGATAGGAGGTGCTATTAGTCAAAGAAGGTCTCTCTGAAGAAGAGATATTTAAGCTAAAACCTAAAAGATGAAAAGAAGCCAAACACTCAGAATCTTAAAATGACATTCCAGGCTCTTGAACAGCAAGTACACAGGCTCAAAACACACACACACACACACACACACACACACACACACACACACACACACGCCAAGTCCAATGCAGACCAACAACCTCATTCCTCACTGGTTTGGGCCTTATGTGTAATTCATTTGTCCACTTGGAATAAGGGAGCCAGCTCTTTCTATCATAACCAATCAAACAGCTTCTCCCTTCAGTACACAAATAGTCAAGTCTTTTGGTTTGTGGCTCTCTGAGATGACTTAAACCCCACCTATATGTTTTTTCTACGTTGCTCTACTAGCAGGGATATTTCCAGCTCAAATTTGCATAATATTTTCTAGAAACCAATACATCACTCTGGTGATAGTCATCACTCTGTATATTGAAAATAACTGTTTGTTACTTTTTGAAGTTGGTATGTATCGGCTTTAAAAAAAATCTTGAAGTTGCTTTCCATACCTCGTTGATTAACTGGATCTTTAGCTACGTAGGCAACATAGTCTGTAGTATCCTATAAAAAAGGGAAAATGATTGCATTTAAAATGAATGAATTATACTATTGAAAAATAAGAGTACATTTAGGACAAGATACTGAAGCAAGGACTTAAATATGAACGTTTTTATTTAAAGAGAAAATGAAAGTTTGTAAAAGGAAACACAAATACACACTATAGTTTAACAATTGTGGAGTTCATATTCTCTGCCTCTTGGGGAAAGAATTTAAAGATTAAAAATTTAAAAGTAGAATGTGCCATAAAGAATAAAAGAGAATGTAGATAGGGAACATGTTAGGACATATTCTTTAAAGATGTCTAATGGCTATGACTCTCTCCTGTGTTAGAAGCTGAAATATACAATCACAGAAGTGGTTAATACAAGGGGGTAATACAATCACAAAAGTGTCATAAACCAGAATGTGTCATCATGACTTCCCTATTATCCAAAAAAATACCATGTATATTAGAAAATAAGTTGACTAGAGACAAATTGGATTTTGTGGTTGTTAGCTTACTTGTGTGCAGTGCAAGTTAACTTAGGGAATAATAAAGAAAAACTACAAGGCATTTATTTAATCAATATATAGAAAAGAAAATCATTTTTTAAAAAGAAAACCCATGAATAACTTAGAAAGTTAAAAAAAAAGATGCACTGCTGACTGTAAAAACAAACAAAAATGCCACTTAGTAATTCCAGCTTTTGTTGAAAACAATAAGCTGATGAATGATAAGATTTTAATAATTAAAGATGCTTTTTGTTATCTCAGTTCTAGGGAAAAAAATATACACAATGTCATTTGCAGATTAGAAGTATGACTCTAGAGAGAAGATGCAATCAACTGGCAGAAAATAAAAGCCCATGTTTGTAATACCCTCAAGGACAATCACTTAATAACTCACAATGAATCACACGGGAAGCAGATCTCAGGGTTGGCATAACTTGTCTTGGGTTATTTTTAAAAAATAACACACACCTAAGTAAATTTCTCTCATGCTAAAAGAAAAAAGGTTTGAAGTATCTTCTGAATAAGAAAGGCCATATCTATGGGCTTTGTTTTATATTAATTTAGAAAAAAGTCACAATTGCTGGGGACTTTACCACTCTTATTCAAGTTGAAAGGTGGTCTGATGCCAGCAATGCTATCTGGTGTATCAGATGGTGGAAAAGATCTCTCCAGACCCATTTCCTTATCTTCAAAACAGTTTCCAACATTCTTACAGTTCTAAAATTCTATATCTATAAACATGTCAGAGAATTTATATAATGATAAATGTAAAGCACAAATAGCAGGGAGAAATATGTTAAAACGTATTTCATTTTTTACTTACAATGTTTTTTGTTTTTTTTTTTTGAGTCAGGGTCTCACTCTGTCGCCCAGCAAATTTTTTTGATTTTTTTTTTTCCAGAGATGTGGTCTCAATATGTTGCCCAGGCTGGTTTCAAACTCCTGGGCTCAAGCAATTCTCGCACCTTGGCCTCCCAAAGTGCAGGGACTTCAGGTGTGAGCCACCGTGCCCAGCTGCAATTTTTTTTAATGGAGAGTGCATATATAGCTACAGAAGCATTACCAACCAACAACCGTCCTCAGGGCTGACAGAAGGAAGACTAGTAAACTGTTTTTGAGAAGACAGTAAAGATGAGGGGGAGTAAAGGTCGGGAGATTAGAAAGAATACTCATTATTTTTTGAAAATTTGGAGGAGATCTGGTAGAAAGAAGATTACTGCGTTGGGTCACAGGGACTTTTAAGTCAGCTTCCCACCCGTTTAGCTGTGAAGTTGTAAATTATCTCAGTGAGTATCCTCAAACAAATATTGGCCTGCAATAGTAACAGTAGTAATAGAAACCTCTTGTGACTGTGTACCAGACCCTGTGTTAGCACCCAACATATACCAATTCACTTAATTCTCACAGTGCTGTGAGGCACCAGGGATCATCCTTCATTTACATAGGAAGACCTGGAGACTAGATAGGTTAAGTGAATCAGCTCCACTTGACTCCAAAGCCTGGCACTACATCACGCTACATTGCTGACCTCTACGTAAAACGTCACTGAGACAATTCTAATGCCAATGCTCAGGGTGGCTTCAGATTTCTGTTTTAAATTGGAATCAATAGATATACAGCTACAAGGAGCTCAGGGGTGCTTTCAATTCAACAAGTACAAACTCTCCCACAGTGGCCACAAATTCCTTCCTGTTTGTTTGTGGTGAGAATAGCGCTTGGTGAGTTCAAAGAACTAACAGCACATGAAGACAGTATGAAAAGAATTAAGATTCCGAAGAATAGTAACAGAAATCATGCAAGGCATGCCTCAGGTAAATAAGGATTTGTGCACCAATCTTAAAATGATGGCAATCCTTGAAACTTAAAAAAAAATTTAGGGCAAACACCAATAAATATTTTTCACATTACACTTACAGAATACTACTTCAAATCTCTTAAGAAAAGTATTTGAGCTACTTCATGGATGACCAAACTGTAATGGGTTAGAAAGAGAAAATACAATGCTGGTGTTTTTCAGCCTAGATTCAGTAGACACTCTCTACTACCCAACCCTTGGTGTCGCTGTTGAGGCCGTATTCCAAAGCTGTATACATTGGAGTCCAGATGCACACTGGGCTCACACAGCAGCTGTTAAGCACCAGATACCTTGCATATCCCCTGTTTGCTCATGATTCCACAACTAGCCATTGTGTAAGTTCTTGGGGGGGAAGGTAAGTTCTTAAAATTTGGTTTACTTTTAAATGGTGACATCATGGAACTAATATAGTCATTTGAAAATAACTACACTCAAGAGTAAAAGGTGAGGAAGTAGGGAAGCCTAAAGGGAAAATTGAGTATCCATTAGTAAAAAATAAATAAATAATTTGAAATCCTGTAAAGGCTGCTTTTCTTCCACATGCTTCAAAGAAGTTCTAAAGACAGTTTGCTAGGTTTGATATGCTTAAGTACTTTGACTCAATGCTAGCTAATGTATAGACAAGTAATTATTGGAGTGTTTTAAAGAATTAGCTAATTTAAATAGCATTCAGCTATATAGTTTACACACAAGTCAGTTACACGAACATCTAAGTGGAGGAACTTGCTTAAATATTTTAGATGTCAGTAAATGAAGCAATGATTACACAGAGTAGCCTCAGAACTTTTATTTCCTCTTAGGATACACTTTTTTTTTTTAATATTTAGCACCAAGTTTAAAACAAATCAAAACTTTGTAGTGATACTAGCTCCAGATTTAGTTTTTACCACCCTCTCTACCTCTCTTGGGCTTCTGGATTATGTGTCCGATCATTCATGATCCTAATTTTTATTTCTCAGTTAGTAATAAGAAAACAAATGTGGTGGGTTGAAAAAAATTAAACTGTTAAACTAAATTTTTGTTGCCTCATTTCTGAAGGATATAATCTTTAATCATAAATGCTTCACTTCAGAAAAGGTGGTAAGAACAAGGTCTGTGTACGCTCCCCATATGTTTGCTTGATGCTACTGATACATGCATCTATGTAACTATGAAAGTGGCTCTCTGCCCTCTTTCATATGTTTACAGGTACAATATCACAGAGCGGCAAAATGGTCTCTCTACCACCCTCACAGTTTAAACAGATTTGCTTCTTGTTCAGTCATAGACTCCCTAGCTTCAATGCCCCTCTTCTTTTGCTCTGGTCCAGAAATAATGCAGCAGGAAATCGAAGAATGACACTCCATTTTGCAAAGCAGGCTTGGAGAGAGAGTCCTGCACAATTTGTGGGAAATGAGAGCACCATGAAGTCTCTTGGTAAAGAGGAACTGCAAGTTCTCTCTCCCCAGAGGAGCATTCCCTACATGAGTTTGTGCAATATAGTCACTCATCCTAGATTAGATTTAGTAGCCGTCATTGATATAATTGCTTATGCCTGGAACTTTGTGTTGAGAATTCTGAGGGAGGGCTGGCAACACATGTATGACATATTTGCTTTTCATGACTTAGATAGTAACAACGAGAAGCTTATCAGATGATAACTCCATGGCGAATAACACAACAGAGTACTATTAGCTCATCTACTATTCCAAATATTTTAAAATTCATTGACAGAAAGTAATTTTTGAAAGGAATAGCTACATGTAATTATTCACAAATATTAATCATATATTTGGAAAAGACCTGTAGTGATGAATATGCTTTACACAGAAGTTCTCTTAACTCTTATAAAAAGAATTTTTTGAATCCATACTTACAGGATCCCCTCCAGAGGCAAATGAAATAGACTGCATATGATGATTTGCAATAATCTGAAAGACATAAATTAAATATGTATGCTGCTATCAATTATAATTTTTAGTTACATATAGTCTAACAGTAATAGATACACATTTGTTTTTGTTTTGCTTGATCTGCATCCCTTTGGAAACCACTCCATCGACATCCTATAATAATCTCATTTAAACCATGTGGTTCAGGAGGGTTTGACATGCCCATCTCACTGCCTACCACACCAGGTGGCACATGGTCCAGGTCTAGCCAAACAGAAAATAGCATCTCTCTGGATAAAGAAAAGTCAATCGATGTCTTTTAGGAGAAATTGGGTTGGATACCAGGAGAGAAACCATCTCTCTCTGCCATTAAAGAACATGTATGCCCCAAGCTTCTGGGAGCCATCTTTTGCTGCCATGTGGAAAAAGCCTGCTGAAAAATGAAGATTTCCCTCTGAAGAAAATCAGAGCTGAGATCTAAAAACAGAAAAAAGTCTGGTGGTAACATTTGTTCCATCACTTTATCTTATTTATTCTATTTATTTATATATTTATTTTGGCATGAGTTTTTAAAATTTGGTTTCAATCATTACCACCAAAAATATCCTAACTAAAGCACTACAGTTACGACTTTCAGTATGAAGTAAAAACATCCAATGAACTGCATTACTTAGCCAAGATTGTTACTGTTATTTGAGATTCTGGGATTGCTTGTTTGGAAACCACAGTGTAATGATCAATTTGCAGAGATGTATTTGGCATACTGTTTTGAAAATTCATTAAAACACAAACTACACACCTATTGACTAGTCCTGTTTTCAGAATTGCGAGACAGATCTGTCTTTTAATTTATTTTCTTTTTTGTTGTTGTTTCTACCATGAGGAGAGAAGAACCTATCAAAGCTGTTTTATATAAGACGTCCAAGCAACTCTACTCTTAGATGTATATCCACTAGAATTGTGTTAACAGTGCAACAAAAAATATTCTCCAGAAAGATAATAATTACCCTGTTTATAATAGCCTTAAATTAGAAACAATCCCAATGATGACTACTATGATATTCAAACAGTGGCATATTACATATCAACGACTTGTTTGTTGAGGAAAGAAAAACACAAAGAACATATACTGTATGATTTAATTTATACAAAGTTCAAAAACAAGCAAAATTAATTTATTGTATTTGAAGTCAGGATAGTGGTTACTTCTGAGGCATAGAAAGAGGAAGCAAATGATTTTCTGGTATGCTACAAATGGTATTTCTTGATCTGGGTGGTAGTTATACAACTATGTTCATTTTGTGATAGTCAAGCTACACCCTTACTATTTGTGCACTTTTCTATCTTTATATTTCAGTAAAAACAAAGTCAATATACAAAAATGTCATTCCCATATATCAACAATAGCTAATTTGACATTCTATTTGGGGGATAAAGGTACATCTTATAAGAGTACCCAAATATAAAACTAACCAGAATCTTGAAATGCTTTTCTGGAAAACTTCATTGAAAAGTATAAATAAGACCTGAACAAATAGAAAGATATATATTACTTTTATGGATGAGAAGACAATATTATAAAGATGTCAATTCTCCCTCAAATTAAGCTATAAATTCCATACAATTTTTTAAAATGTTACTAATGTCATTCATGGAACTTTTCAAACTGCTTCTAAAATTCATATGGGAATAAATGTGCAAAAAGAGCTAAGGCAATTTTTCAAAGAATAAAGACAAAGTTTTCCTTATCATATAGCAGGACATATTACAAAAATAAATTCATAAGAATTCAAAGTCTAAAAACTGATTCATATGTTCACGGACTTTTAGTCTATGATAAATGTAGCAGACAAAAGGGCAAGTTGTTAAATTAGTGGACAAAACAGCAGACAAAAGGGCAAGTTGTTAAATTAGTGGAGTTGGCTGATTTACATACTACATGAAAAATATATATAAATAATATATATAAATAAATAATAATATGAAAAACATATATAAATAAATCTTGTCCTCATATTATTTATATAAAGGATCCCTAAAAGGTCTATATAACACTAAAAGGCAGATAAAAGATCATATTTGTGATATTTGAAGTAGGAAATCCAACTTAACAGTCTGAAAAAGACACACAGAAAAAATATTTAATTCCATAAAAACAAATTTTAAAACTTTTGTGTAAGAACCTTTACTCAAGACAAACAACGAAGACAATATATTTGTAACATGAAAAAGTATTCATATACAGAGTTTATAAAGAGAGAAACGTAGAACAAGTTAATTCACAGAAGGAATACAAATGTTCAATAAGCATATTTAAAGATAATCTCCAAGAAACCAAAACAATGGAGACGAACAAGCTACCATTAAATTGATGAAATTGTTAGTTTAACAAAATCATGTGTGGCAAGGGTGTTGGGTATTCTCAAACACTGCTGGCTATAGCTTAAATTTATGCAGCAACTTTGGAGAGCAATTTAACAGTATTTATTTAACCTAAAGTATGCACACACTACAATTCCACCTTCTCACTTCTAATTATTCTAGAAAACCACTGGCACATGTGGATGTCCATTTACCCAGAGTTTATAATATTTTTAAAAAACCAAATTATTTGTCCATGATTAGGTCAACTATGGTATAATCTACACAAATGAGTGTGTGTGTGTGTGTGTGTGTGTGTGTGTGTGTGTGTGTACTGCCGAGGCTTTTTTTTTGAAGACAGTTATGTAAAATGTTTTTTTAAAAAATCACAAAATATTATTTTGCCACGAGTACATAAAGATCCTTGTTGACTGGCGCAAAGAAAAAGGAATTTAAAAACTACACACCGAATTGGTCATAGTGGAAAGATATCTACTGGGGGAAAAAATAAATGGGATCAAGTATTTTCTTCACTGCAACTTTAAAATATATATATTTATTGTTTGTGAATTCAGCTACTTTCAAAAATGACAAATGAAAAAGCAGAATGAGTTCGTTTTTAATATGCTGATCAGCGGTTGCGGAAAACTGCCTGGAGATGCGGATTTAGAAGCCATCCACGCAAACAGAAGAGCTCATTAAAACCTTGGAGCAGATGCAATTCACTGGGGAAGGAGGGAGTAGTGGAATGTGGTAACGGGGGCCATGTATTTTCCACTTTACAGGATCACAGGCAGCAGTACGGTTAAGTGACGCAGAGACGGTTTGTGCAAGCTTAGTTTAGTTTCTAGATAGGAAGTTAGAGACGGGCGAAACATCGCCCATCCAGCCATACTAACGATCCCTGAAGAACACGGAGAGACTCCCGCCAGGGTGGCGAGCCAAGCAGAAGGCGGCACCTGAGGGCCACGCATGCGCATTTGCGCGGGATTACACAAGAGCGCCGCGTTTGCGCACGCGCACAACCGCAGGGCCGCGCATCTCCGATCTCGCTGAAAACGTTTTCCAGGGGTTGAGCGGTTTGCACAATGTCTGAAATGGCCGAGCTGTCTGAGCTGTACGAAGAGAGCAGTGACCTGCAGATGGATGTGATGCCTGGCGAGGGTGACCTTCTGCAGATGGAGGTAGGCAGCGGGAACCGGGAGCCATCCCTGCACCCCTCCCGCAGCGGGGCCCCGCCACAGCTCGAGGAGGAAGGCCCCATGGAGGAGGAGGAGGCCCAGCCAATGGCGGCGCCGGGGGGAAAACCCAGCCTTGCTAACGGGCCCAACCCCGGGGAGCAGGCAGGCCAGGTCGCGGGCCCAGACCTCGAGAGCGAGGACGAGGGCGAGGAATTTGATGACTGGGAAGACGACTACGACTATCCGGAAGAGGAGCAGCTGAGTGGTGCCGGCTACAGAGTATCTGCGGCCCTTGAAGAAGCCAACAAGATGTTTCTGAGAACATCCAGAGCCAGAGAAGCAGCCCTGGATGGCGGCTGCCAGATGCATTACGAGAAGACCCCGTTCGATCAGTTAGCGTTTATCGAAGAGCTCTTTTCACTTATGGTTGTCAACCGTCTGACCGAAGAACTCGGCTGCGATGAGATTATTGATAGAGAGTAGTTAAATGCTGTTAAAAGAGGAGGAAACTACTTGAGGAGAGACTCGACTTTCCACTATCTTTTGGGTTCATTCCAAATAGTTCTGTGCCATTGAAAAACTTGATCTCCAAAAAAAGAAAAAAAGGTTTGTTTTCGTTTTTCAGAACGGAAGACAATAGGAAAGTGACTGCACAGTTGTGGAAAAGGAAGAGAATCATTAAAGAAAAAGGCTCCCAGGACTGTTGAAATCTGTTCTCAAGAATGGCCTGAAACACCTACGGCTTTGACTTTGGTGTTGATCCAGATTATTTTCCTTACCTTGGGGAAAATATCTTTCATCTTTGTTTCACTATAAAGATGGTTTTGCGGGAGTAAGTCGTGACCAAGACAAACTGCCAATAAAAGAGCCCCACTGATACTGATTATATAATGAGAAAAACAATACCCAGCTAGAACACAAGATATCTTTTGAGTTATTTGGACTGAAACGCTGTTAAGAAAACGTTGAAAATGCCACTTTGTGATCTCTTCAAGCTGTAGTTATCGAAGGCTAAATTTTCAATGTAAGATAAATGGAGTGTTCTTCATTATCCCAAAAGGATGAGTAACTCAAAAGAAATATATATCACATGTGTTGCATCTTAAAATGTGTCTCCAGGAGCATATAATATTCTGTTTGTACATGTATCTTGATCATTTATAAAACTACTGTGATCTGTAATTCAAGAAAATCCATTGTGACTTTTTAAAAGTCAAAAATTAAAACATCCTTAATAAAAAGGTTTCAAGTCATTAAAATATATGTGAAAGTGCAAAGAAAACAAACTATTTCTAACACCCTTATATACTAGAGAAATTTTGTTTTGCTCTCTTTTGCATTTAACTTGACAGGTGAAAGACTAGTTCATATCGTAAGAATTGTTAGTGAAAATTGTCAAGTAAAAGGAAAGCCTTACATCTAAAAAGATAGCTGCTCAGAAATTATCTTGGTGTCTGAAATTTTCCTCTGTCTCCTCCTCTAATTAAGCTTGCTATTTGTTATGCACCAGCATTGGAGATAATAAAATTTCTTGTTCTGTGTATTTTGTTTGGCTAATAGTATTGCATACATACTTTCTCTGAATAATACTTTTTATTGTATATATTATTGTGAAAACTTTGTGACTTAAATACTTAACCAACATTTATAAGGAAAAAATAACTGATTTACAAATTCATTTCTGGAAATTAAACTTAGTAAATTAAATTATTGCCTATAAGAATTTGCCAACCTAGGGAAACCTAGTCCTATCAATGAGTGTGTCGCTTTAGTAATTTCATTAATTTGCTGAAGTCCTAGGAGAGTTAATACCTCAGAAAGCTATGCTTTGCAAAATGAGTGTGTCAACAGGTTTTTTCAACATCAGTAAAAAGGTTTCATATTCTTCATTATGGCCGTAAAGAACATACATTCAATGCAGCAGGACAACTCAGCCTTATTTAATTTACAGTGACCTGTCTTTTGGGGGAAATGTCTGGAAAAGATAGGACTGTCACAAGAAAAGATGATCATAATCACCAGAACACTAACTTGGTTGGGAGGAAGAGATGGTAAAAAGACTAGACAGGAAATAAAATGTTAGCACTTAAACATTTTAATACTATTGTCTGTTCCATAACTCTTCTCATCATTGCTTTCTCAAACAGCTTATAGCTGAAGTCAAATGAGCCTTGGTAGATAATTAATTGCATGTTCAATGTAAATTAACAGTACTTACTCAGGGAAATAGAATGCTAGTGTACAATAAACTGGCCAGTTGCAATTACCTGCACAAAAGTCGCCAGGAACAAAAAACTCAATCTGAGCTCTACAGATTGAAAGGTTGTGATTATGTTTCTTTCTGGGATTGAGTAGTGAACAAGGGCAGGGGGCAAAAACATTCTGATGGTTGGTTTGTTGGTCCTGAAAATAGGTAATAAACTGAGACACAACTGAAATTGATACTTGTTCATATTTGCTGGAGATAGAAAATTGTAACATTTTAACACCTATTTTAAGAGGTATAAAATCACATATTTTAAACCTTACAGTTACCACAGACTGAACCATACTACTTGATTCAAATTTGAGCTCGACTATTTATTAGTAATTGGGTCAATAACTTAATCTCTCTGGCTTGAGTCCTAAACTGAAAATAGGTACAAGTGGATGTGAAGATTAAATGAAGGTACATATGCGTGGTTTTATATATATTCATTTAAAGGAACTAAAGAAAGGAGTTCTTGGGGAATTCTGACATTTATTTTGTAAGAAAGGGGATGTAGAATGGGGTAGGGAATTTAAAGAGGCTTAGAGTACATAGTGTGATTAGGGAGAGTTCTAGGTCTACCCATATATATAATAAATGTTTGCTTAAATTAGTATTGCACATTGGCTGCCTTCAGGCCATAGATCTATTTTGTTTGGCTCATGCTTTTAATTTTTAAGTTAAAGACCAACATCTCAATACAGAAATAGCAAGTAAAAAAATCAGACTTTTATGTGTGTGTGTGTGTGTGCACATCCACACCAAAGTAGATGATCTGGCAGTCTTTGACCTATAGTCAATACCACCTCTAACTTCTTTGCCCTGAAGAAAAGCGGTGGAGGGGAAAGAGGCTGAGAAACAGTTGTGCCTCGCCAAATACATCACAGCCCTATTCTTCATAAATTCTCCATTCACTTCAGGCACCCCACAGGAAGGGCCATTTTACAAAACGATCATTTAAATTCTGCACACAAGGCTGTCACCATGATGGTTCCAGCTTTGCCTACTCTTTCTCCCTTTATGAAGCTCAGATAATCCAAGGGCTCCTCTCCTGTACTCAGATCTCATAACAAAAAGCATGGAGACTCTGTGGTACCATACATGTGAGTGAAAACAAAAGAATTTTACATCTACGGAAGTCTTGAAGTCAAATTATCTGAATGACTAGGTGAATAGTTACACTTTCCACCTAGATGTGTTGCATCTTCCAAGTGCAGCCCAAAATGTTATGTTCTCATTATTCCAATGATACATATCAACACTCTTGGATAATTAAGGAGGAGCAACTAGACAGGAATCTATTTTGAACTGTTTCATATTAAACATTTTCCTCTAAAGTGTTTTATACACTGCATAAATAATACTCTGTTTTTGAAATTAGAAAAAAAGCCCTCAAAAACTGTTCTTATGTGATACTGATAATTTATAATTTTGTATATTGTAATATGCTTTTCCAGTTAAGTACTGAGTATATAAAAAGGTCTCTGAGAAAATATTTGATTAAATAATAATAGATATCATGTGACAGGCTTGTGCTAAGTGATTTACATCCATTATTTTATTTAATCCTCTAACTAGCCCTATGAGACACTGTTAAATCCACCTCCTCTCAGAAAGCCTATAAATAGGTACTATAATCCTCATTTCACTGATGAGGAAAACTGAAGCTCAGAATGGTAGGGTAGCTTAACAGTAAGTGGCAAAGCCAGCATTTCAACCTGTGTGTGACCTCAAAGCCTCTAAGTATGTTATCATTACTGAGTACACATTAAACCTTTCATGAGTCCTTGATCAACAGCACTCCATACGGTAAAATCTTAAATATGAATGGCCAGGTGTGGTGCCTCACACCTGTAGTTCCAGTACTTTGGGAGGCTGAGGCAGGAGGATTGCTTGAGCCTAGGAGTTTGAGACCAGCCTAGGCAACATAGATCTTGTCTCTATAAAAACAATAAAAAAGAAATTAGCTGGCCATGGTGGCACGTGCCTGTAGTCCCAGCCACACAGGAGGCTGAGGCAGAAGAATCACCTGAGCCCAGAGGCAGAGGCTGCGGTGAGCCATGATCATGCCACAACACTCCAGCCTCGGCGACAGAGTAAGACTGATTAAGAAAAAGGCGGGGCGGGGGGAGAACTTGAATCAATACTTATTAGACAAAGGTAAAAATCAGACTCTACATAAGTAACCTGATAAAAGGAGTTTAGTTTAAAAAACTTAAAGCAAATCAAACAACATCCTAGTTTAGGTACTTATTTAACCAATGCTTGTGTATCTTTTACATTTGCTTCAGCAATGCAGTTCTGTGAGAAATGAGGTTCACAATGAAAACTCAGGTACATCATAGGATCATAAATTATCAAGGAAGAAGTTATGGTTATCCAATAACATTTTAGAAAGTTTCTCAACCACAAGAGATGGAAGAAAATGTTTTCTGTTTAGGTTTCAGTTAGCTAGAGCATTCACTCTAACATTACCTTTCCCCCTTTTCCCTCACTGGGCACTCCAGCCAACGCACCGTCTGTTAGTTCTGATAATGGAATTGTTTTCCCTTTGGGGAGGGTTGGTGGGAACTAATCAATGACCGATTCAAGGATAGGAGTTGCCCAGTGGCATTTTCTATGTTCTTTGCACCCTAGTTCTTTCATACAAAACCAGTTGGGTAGGGGCATGTATGTTAGATAAATACCCCAGTAGTAAGTTAGTAATGTCGTTGGTCTAATGATTGTTATGCGTAAATCTTGGGCACTTTATTTCCTCTTGAGCCTTACTAAATTGTAGGCATACTGTGTCTGAAACATTATTCTCTTTATTATCCCCAGGGTCCTCTAGAAAAATAGATGACATCTTAGGTTATAAATGACATTTTTGAGCTTACCTGTTGGTTGTCAAGGTTCATCAGTGTGAGGCTGCACGTTGATATGGTCAGTTTTATATTCATTCCCGAAAACTGAAGATTACTTTTGCCAAGAACTGTTGATAGGAACTTAACTGGAGGCTTAAAAAAAAAAGTTAGTTATGAATTTTGTTATAGAATGAATGTTAATATTTTTTAAAGGTTAAAAATCAGTCATATACTTCCCCTCTATTTTACTTTACATAAATCAAAGGGGGTGGAGTGATTTTTTTGTTGTTGTTAAATACATTTTATAAAAAATTAGGCCGGGCTCGGTGGTTCAGCCTGTAATCCCGCGCCTTTGGGAGGCTGAGGTGAGTGGATTGCCTGAGCCCACGGGTTCGAGACCCGCCTGGGCAGGTGAGACCTCATCTCTACAATAAATAAAAAAATCAGCCGGGCGTGGTAGCGCGGGCCTGTAATTCTGGCTACTCGGAAAGCTGAGGGGGAAGGATCGCCGGAGCCCAGCAGGTCGAGGCTGTGGTGGCCGGGAGCGGCCGCTGCACTCCAGTCTGGGCGACAGAGTGAGGCTCCAACTCAAAAAAAAAAAAAAAAAAAGTTAGAAAGCAGCAAATTCTGTAGTAAGTAGTGAAATTTGGGCTCCAGAACTTTTCTCATAGTGTTGGGAGTGAGGGGGTCTGTTTTATATAAACAAATTCCTGTGAGAGTTTAGACCAACTGAACTCTTAAGTCCTTTTCAACACCACACATCTAAGCAAAAGAAATATTTGATAATCCACTGAATCTAATGCCACTGAAGGCATTGATGAACACTTTCTGATTAAGTAACTGCTTCCTTCATCCCTCATTGTTCCCTTGCTAGAATTAAATAGATCTTCCTGGCAGTCTAATCTTTACCTTCAGACAACTATGATGCCTGAAATTCTGGGGTTTTTTGTTTTTTTGTTTTTGAGTTGGAGTCTCACTCTGTCGCCCAGACTGGAGTGCGATGGCTGCTCCCAGCCACCGCAGCCTCGACCTGCTGGGCTCCGGCGATCCTTCCACCTCAGCCTTCCAAGTAGCTGGAACTACAGGCGCGCGCTACCACGCCCAGCTAATTTTTTATTTATTTATTGTAGAGATGAGGTCTCGCCGAGTTACCCAGGTGGGTCTCGAACCCGCGGGCTCAGGTAATCCACTCACCTCAGCCTCTCAAAGGCGCAGGATTACAGGCTGAGCCACCGAGCCCGGCTGATGCCTGAAATTCTATCATTGGTCACTCTTTTAGGTTAAATCATTGTTCTCAGATGGTCGCTATTGTTAAAATGAACAAATATTACTAGGAAGGGATTAGCCCATTCCACAGTATGTAACTCATGAGTAAAGATGGTTTATCAGAATTTACTAACAGAAATTTAGAGGAAGATCCTGAGGAAAAGGATGTTTTGATAAAAGTTGAAATTCTAGACCAGACATTTCTCAGAGAGAGGATTTCTGGGCATTAGGTGAAGTATTATCAGAGAGTAGGAAGTTCCCAGAAATTATAGAGAAAGGCACTGGGGTGATAAGTGGGGAGAGAGGTGAGAGGTTGGGCTGGCTGATATTCTCAAGCTCAAGTGCCACTTACCAGCTATATGACCTTGGACAAATAACCTTTCTAGTCTCAATTTCTCTGTGCATAAAAAGTGTGTGGGGGGGGAAGAGTAGCCACTTCCTAAAGACTGCTTTGAAGAATAAATTAGATAAGAACTAAAGAGCATTTAGCACAGTACTTGACTGAGTACATGAGAGCTATTATTATTATTATTTTGATCCTTTCCTATATTAAGATTCGAAGAAACAATTTGAGAGATTTAAATACTGTGACAGATACTTGGATTTAAACACTGCGACGGACGCATAAGTTTCAAAATCCTCTGCTGGAAAGTGGGCCAGTTGAGGATGGAAAATCAGTGATTCCTCAGCATAAGGATCAATACTTTGAGGCAATCGATGAAAACACAATTTGTTTCTTTCATAGTTTTACTTTTATATTACTCTCATTTGACTCATTGTGGAACCAAACTGTTCAACATATATTGTTGAAATTTAGTGTACAGTTTTAATCTTTAATTCCAAATACATTCTAAAATGCAGTGCAAACAATGTGACTAAGAAGCCCCAAGCATCATAGGTATCACTCTATCATAAAGTTGCCTCTTGGTCTACTTCCTCTGCTCTTCACATGGCTCTTGACAAGACAAGCCACACAATTCAGGGATTTTGTGTTTCCCACAGTGATTATATTTACTAGCAAGTCATTCCGTTTTTTCTAGCGTTTCTTTTCCATACTAGTTTTTAAAATGTTATTAAATACCAATTAAACAATAAAACTATCTCACAGTTGAAAAGCACTTTGTTATTTGTAAAGAATTTTTATATAAATCATCTTTATTTTGTCCTCACAATAACCTTAACCTCATGAGAAACACCCAAAATGTATAGGAGACAAAGTCTTTCATTTCTTTATTAGAAATGATCTAACAAGTAAACGGCTCATGGAGGAGAAAGCACGTAGTTCCTAGGCAGGCACAGCAGAGTGCAAAACACAGAACTGGCAGTGAGGCCACTTGGATTCAAGTCCCAGGTGTGCTACTAACTAGCCAAGGGAACAGAGAAAACTCCCTCAATCCCTCTCAATGTCTTTGTTTACAAAACAGGAATAATAACATCACTTGTATCCTTCCATCTCTAACTGTGGGAGATCTAATTCAGTAATAAAGTATATTAATACATGGACATGCTTAGTATATAGTGAAGTACTAACAAGCTGTAATGGCTACAATTACTACTTTTAAAGGCTACAAGATTTATTCTCTGAGAAAAAGGGAGGTGAGAAACTACAGGCCTGTGCCCTTGGGAGAGGTCACTACAGGAGTGGGAGGAGATAGGAACAGAAGGGAGAGGCGAAGGATGGGATACTACCCAACATTTACTAAAGAGTGGAGGCAGGCCACATTTTATAAATGAGAAAACTCTTAAGACAGGGAGACATTCATTTACCATAGCTATATCAATTTATAGGTTTTGACATAGCAGCCTGGCTCTTGGGACTTCATATCACACTCTCTCAAGAACCTCCAGTTCTTTTGGTTATTCATTTGCTTTGATTTCAAAACTCATGGGATATCACATAAATGAATAAATCCTAAGCACTCCAAATTGTCTAAAGGAATCAGGTGAAATTGTGACCATACTCAATTGGCCTTAAATAGTTTTTGGCTTCCTTGCCCCCGGGGGAGATACTAGGTAGAAGCAAAATAACATTGTGATTAAGGGTGTGGATCCTGAAGCCAGAATGCCTGAGTTTTTGTTGGTTCTACACATTTATTGGGTCATTGGACAAGTTACTTAACCTTTCAAGGCCCCAGTTTCCTAATCTTCAGAATGGGGATAAATAATTGGATCTGAGTCTAGGTTTTGGTGAAGATTAACAAAGTATAAAAAACACAGCATACCAAACTTACAGGACACAGCAAAAGCAGTGCATGCTAAAAGGGAAATGTACAGCTATAATGCCTTATATTTAAAAAAGCAGAAAGATCTGAAAGAATAAACCTCACCTTACAACAAAGAGCTAGAATAAAAACCCGAATTGTAAAAACCAGGAGCTAGAAAAAAACCCCAAAACCAAATGTAGCAGAAGGTAGGAAATAATAAAAGATTAGAACAGAGACAAAAGAAACAGAGAATAAAAACAGGAGAGAAAATCAAGTAAGCCAAAAATTGGTTCTTCAAAAAAGATCAACAAAATGGACAAACCTTTAGCTAAACGGACTAAGGAAAAAAAAGACTCAAATTACCAAAATCAGAAATGAAAGTGGGGACACTACCAATTCTACAGAAAAAGAAAGGATTATAATAGAGTGCTATGAACAACAGTAGGTCAGCAAATTGGATAATTTAGATGAAATGGACAAATTCTTAGAACACCTGCTAAGACTAAATCACAAAGAAATAGAACATGTAAGTAGTTATAACTAGTCAAAAAAACTTGGCAAGAATATGGGGAGAAATTGGAAACCTGGTGCGTTATCAGTGGGAATGTGAAATGGTACAGCTGCTGTGGAAAACAGTATGATAGTTCTTCAAAAAGTTAAAGATAGAATAGCCATATGATCCAGCCATTCCCCTTCTGGGTATATACACAACAGAATGGAAAGCAGGGCCTTGAAAAGACATTTGAAGTGCATGTTCACGGCCGCATTATTCACAATAGCTAAACCATGGAAGCAACTCAAGTGTCCATCTGCAGATGAATGGATAAGCAAAATGTGGGAGACGATGCAGCATTATTCAACCTTCAAAAGGAAGGAAATCCTGACATCTGCTCAACATGGATGAACTTTGAGGACATGAATCTAAGTGAAATAAGACAGTCACAGCAGGACAAATACTGTATGATTCCACTTAGATGAAGTACCTAGAGCATAGAAACAGAAAGTAGGATGGTGGTTGCCAGGGGCTGAGGAGAGGAGGGAACAGGGAGTTATTGTTTAGTGTGTACAGAGTTTTGGTTTTTGCAAGATGAAAAGCGTTCTAAAGATGGATGATGGTGATTGTTGCACAATACGAATGGACTTAATACCACTAAACTGTATACTTTAAAATTGCTAAAATGGTGAATTTTATGTTACCTGTATTTTACCACAATTTAAAAATGGGGGAGGACTATTAAAGAGTCCCTGGCATATACTAAGTACTCAATAAATGCTAGCTATCAAAGGAAATGAGCCGTTTTTCTTAACAGGTGTACTTTCTGGTTTGTTTCATTTTGTGGCGTGTAACCCCTATTCCTGAAACGGGAGGCTCTAAAATGAATGTGTTTGTTTGTTAGAATCATCCAGTTGAAACATCCTATTCACAGAGATTATGAAAAGCAGGAAGGGGCTAGAGGCTACTTTGGAACCAGGGGTTCTATCAAAGAAACTAGTAATAGAGAATCCTTAATAGAATTCAAGGGCCATTTGTCAGAGTTTTCCATACCATGTGGCTCCTCTGAGTCACTCTGGGTGACACTGAGTTCAGCCCTATGTAAAATAATGAAGATGGTAACAAAAATAAGGCAGAGTGATGTAGAAGGAGAGGCCAAACTGAGAATCTGAAGGTCTGGCTTCTGCTGCTGGCTCTGACCTTAATCATCCCAGTAACTTGAGGCAGACACCATCTCCTCTCTCAGACTCACTTTAGCTGGCAAAATTAAAGGGTTGGACCAGAAGATCTCTAAAAATCCCCTTCCTTCTTAAACAGGCTACAATGGTATGATTTATGGAGTTATCTTAGGATCTTTGCACCTCCTTTTTGGACAAAGCAATTAAACATTCTAGGGTTAATAATATTAGCTACCACTAACGTAGAAAACTGAGTATATGCAGACACTGTAGTAGGCAGTTTGTAGACATCACTTCACTTCACATCACTTTAATTTTTACACAACCCCATAAAGTAAGTACTATTTTCTTCCATTTTGCAGATGAAGTTAAGTGACTCATCCAAGAGTACACATTTAGTAGGTGGCTGAAGCAGAATTTCAATCTATGTCTATCTAACATCAAAACTTTTGCTTCCTTTCAGTATGGAAAGTTACTCTAGTCAGCGTTATTACCTCACCTCTACCACTATTCATGTTTACATTTGAAAATAGGTCAGGAAATCTAAAATGTTAAAATGCAGAACATACACATTATAAAATTTTGAAATTGTAAGGTTCCAAACTAGTCACAGGGTTCAACTACTTAATGAAAGGAACAAGAACAGACTCTCAGAGAGATGAGATGGTATGCTCAAAGGTAAGTAAAGAGCCAGGCTTGGCACCCTGATATTTCTGACCAAAAATCAGGGACTTTCTCCACTCTGCCACTCTAGGTATCACCGTGTTCAGATAGTGTCAGGTGACTCGGAAAGATTTGAGGAACAAGAGGAACTTGGAGTGCAGCTCTGTTATCGTGCCACCTAGAAGAGGCCACGCTAAACTTTAGATCATATGGTGGAATGAACCAACAACTATTTTGATACTATCTCTGACATAGGGACACATAAAGCAAGAAAACCACATCAATATTTACCTTTCGCTTTTTAATGGCTCCATTTGCCCCAGGGACAGCTTCACATAGGCGACTTATTGCTTCCCTACAGAACAGAAACCATATAAAGACTTAGCATACTACCCACACACCCAGTAAGTGTTCAAGAAATGTTAGAAATTATTATAGCCAAAATGTACACAGACATAGTGGTGAATCTGACATAAATTCTCCCAGGGTCACAGGAGAAAACACTGTGCTTACTCCTTCTGCAGTTCAAACCCAGGAGAAACTAGCAACACCCTAATACTGAAACATTGCTTTACAGCAAGGAAAGTTCTACTATTTTTTTTTTCCTTGACTTTTCAGATTTAGTTTTCGTGTTGTTGATTTTTAGTCAAAAAAGAGGGGCAGACCATTACTGTCTGGGAATTCATTGTTTTCCCTTTAGCAAAATCCTCTCTGCTGCGTTTGGAATAAAAAACTTTAGTAGCTCAACACCAACACTGAATTCAAAAACAAACGAATATAAAGGAACCTGAGACTACAGGAAGTTTAAAAGGATGGGGAGAGCATGGAACTTCAAGGTGGTCTCAAATGGAGCCTTATTGACTAAGTTACAGCTATAAGCTATTGAGTTTTCATGTAATTTCACAGAAGAAATCAATATCAAATTTCCTCTTTTGCTTATTTTTCTGACCTTACCATAAATTGCACTTCCTGAGAGAAGGTACTGCTGAAATAAGTAGTTGCTCCTTAATGGAAGTGGTGAAGGAACCGGCGCCCTCCTCTACAGAAATGCAGTTATAACTAAAAGCTTTCGTCTCTGGGACTCTGAACGTTCATAACCACGCAAGCTTTCACTCTGCGTAATCTGAACCTTAGTCTTGTGGCTTTCAACACATATACTAAACTTTTCACAAGGCAGATGGAAATCTCTCAGCTCCTTCCTGGATTCCCCAGAGATCACTGTATAAATTAATAAACTCTATTCTCATACATACACACACACACAAACACACACACATACGTGCAACATTGTATTACAGTTTTTATACACATTATATTCCATGATAGTATTTTCCATGAGATATTTTTGATTCCTGAGGGAAGCAGGAAGAGGTCAGAGAGAGGAATTCAGACCCATTTAAAAAACTGCAATTATGATATGTTGTAGCACAGAGGAAACTTTAGAAAAATAAGTAGACCTCCCAAAGATTCTAGGCATTATTTTGAATTTATAACATGTGTTTTAGTCCCCTTTTTTCTGTATAAATTAAACTCTTCTCCAAGATATTATTCATGTATTGTCTGATTTTTGCATAATTACTTGCAACCCAAATGAGAGAATGGATCTTTGGTCTGGCATATTTTATCAGGGTTTCATCACCATTTTTTTCTCCAGGATTCCAATCTTTGTTCTCTGGAGTCAAATTGAAGGATAACACACCTCTGTGTTGGGCTATCTTGTTTGGTTGGTCGATTGATGTTTTGAATCATCTTAATGTTATTCCAAAATTGATAAGACTCACATAATTAATCCAAATTGGCCTCTGATACTGCCAAAATAGCTAGTCCAGGCACTTCAATGTACTGACAGTATTTAATAATGAGTTATTATAAGAAAGGATAGATCCTTCACTCCATGAGAGCCATTTGGGTGTTTTGGTCTAAAAAACTGACTGTAAATGGTTTGAAATAAAAATAGAAACAAAGGTGGGCATTGATGCTGCCAAGTATAATAATAATCAGGATCATTATTATTAGATGTTGTTACTTTTATATAGCACCTTGTAATTTTGCAAACTGCTTCCCCAAACATTGTTTTCTTGATTCTCGTGCCAATTGTCAGTATCTTCCAACAGAATGTAATGCAGTGAATTTAAATGGAAAGAAATACTTGTACCATGAATACTTCTTCTTCTTCTTCTTCTTCTTCTTTTTGAAAGCAGGACTTATTGAGAGGACAGAAAATCTCCCACAGTGGGAGGGGGTTGCCCATGAATACTTCTTAAGGAATGTTTGAAAGGATAAACCTTCCTGGCAGAGAGGGTTTGGAAATTCCAGACAGAAGGAAGAGCATGTACGAAGTTACCAAAACATAAAGTATCATGCTATGAGGGGAATTTCAAGAACTTTGATATTGCTGAAGCATTGAGTGTGGTAAAGCAAAAGTAAGAGCTAAGGGATGAATTAGAGCCTGAAAACTTTTCCTGTAAAGGGACAGATAGTAAATATTTTAGCCTTTGTTCTGCTGCAAGTACTCAACTCTGCCACTGTAGTGCAAAAAGCAGTCTTAGACAATATATAAACAAATGATCATAAGTGTATTCCAATAAAGTTTTATTTATATAAACAGGCAACTGGCCAGATTTGGCTCCTGGGTTACAGTTTGCCAACCTTGGATCAGATAATTCACACAAAAAGAGAGAAATAGTTCAGTTTTTAAAAATGAGAGAATGTTCACATTCATTATACTTTTAAAATTGAAAATTAAAACAACTAAAAGATACTTCACTCACATTAAGTTAGAAAACATACAAAATCCAGTATTGGGAGAGATGGGAAATATTCTGATTTAGGCAATTGTATTTATTTGTATTTAGGGGCCTGGATTAGTGTTAGTATTGTATACTCATTCTAGAGAGTAATTTGGTAAAAGACGACAAATATCATAAAATTTATCCAAGCATGAACTGGGCATGTAGCTCATACCTGTAGCCCCAGCTACCTAGGAGGCTAAGGAAGGAGGATTGCTTGAGTCTAGGAGTTCTGAGACTGCAGTAAGATTGCACCACTGCTCCTCAGGCTGGGAGATAGAGCAAGACCCTGTCTCTTTAAAAATAAAATTAAAATTAAACAAAAAATTATCAGAGCATTTGACAAGGTGAGGAGAAAATTTGTTTTGAAATAGCCTAAAGTATATAGGAATACATTTTGGAGTGAAAAACCAAAGCCTTGTGATACAGAGATAAAACATATCAAAATAAATATTGCCACTTGGACCTCAGAAATATGGTGGGAACCTATATAATTAGTGTAAAAAAGTAGAACTTGCAACAGTATGTACACATTGATAGCAGCTATATGAAATAATACTGTACAAATAGTGATATAGACAGGGCTTATAACCAATGACTTGGTTTTAGGTTTTTTTGGTCATTTTTTAATTTCCTATTTCTGATTCTACTGCTTTTTGCATATAAACAAGGCAAACAAGGCCATGTTTTACTTTCATTTTGCAGATGATTGGATAATCTTTTAAAATATTCAAATGAATGCAAAGTAAGTTCCTTCAGCAAGCGTTTGCTCATGTGAGGCAAAGGGGTTGTGGAGATGTGAGGGCACATCAAAGATGTCCCAATGGAGAGGTGACGACACCCACAGAAAGGTCCCAATGGTGAGCTGACACCCACAGAAACAATGTTCACATTACAGATAATAACAGATGTTCCTAATTATCTGTAACATGAACTTAGCATTTAATTCCTCCATCTTTAGAACCACTAAGTCCAGATTTGTTTTTTGTTTTAGTTTTTTTTTCAGTTTTTTGGGTAGACTTGCCTATTTCTAATCCCAAAAGTTTCAGAAAGAAAAATAAATCTTAACCAGATTTAGGAACACTCTCACATTAGAAATTCCTACCTTTACAGTGATACACCTTGCAAGAAGCCCACTTTTTAATTTAATTTTTTGGAGATAAGAGTCTCACTTTGTCACCCAGGCTGGAGTAAAGTAGAATGATCATAGCTCACTGCGGCCTTGAACTCCTGGGATCAAAGGACTCTGCCCTCTCAGTAGCTGAAACTACAAGTGTGCACCACCATACCCGGCTAGTCTGAAAATTTTTTTCTGAAGAAATGGGTTCTCATCATGTTGCCCAGGCTGGTCTTGAATTATGACCATAAGCGATCTTCCTACCTTGGCCTCCCAAAGTGCTGAGATTACAGGCGTGAGCCACTGTGCCCAGCCTGGAGCCTGGTTTTTAATGAAAGAGCAGTCTCAATTTATTGAGCACTCTCTATCGCAGACCCAGAAGCAGGCACTTTATATACATCATTTCCTTTAGTCGTAACAATATCATTTAAAAGTAGGTATTTTACACCCATTTTACCAAGGAGGAAACTAAAGCTCAAAAAATTTACATAACTGCCTTCAAATAAGGCAGTTGATCATGGACGAGAAAGAAGGCATAACCAGTTCTGACTTCAAAAACCACAAGCACCTGATGAGGACATATTGCCAGGCAGACAAAAAAAGAGGGAGTTCTAGGAGGCTCTAGGGACCAGGGGAAGTAAAACTGTATTTGCCATCCTTCCCTTGCTCATTCCCCCAACATAGTGAGGGGCTACTTTCTGGGCAATCCTTATACCAATATGGCTGGGATAAACTGCCTGAAGAAAAGGGAAAGTGACAGGGGTAAACTCTGGAAAAGGCTCTGTAGGATGCCCCAGCCCTTTCCCAGCCCCTTGCTTTCTATACATTGGCTGTTATCTCCCGGAAGAGAAGAGCATCAGAGCCAGGCCACATAACTCATAGACAAGCACACACATGTGCGTGCACTCACACACTCGCTCAAAACCTTACAGTCAGTTGAGGTGCCTGAGGCTTCACAGAGCCTGAAAATCTTTTGATATACAACCCTACTCAAAAGAAAAAAGGGGAAACATGTAATTATAAACGTGCTTTTAAAAGTAGTTATTGGCTCAGCCTGCAATCCCGCACCTTTGGGAGGCTGAGGTGAGTGGATTGCCTGAGCCCACGGGTTCGAGACCCGCCTGGGCAGTGAGACCTCATCTCTACCATAAATCAAAAAATCAGCCAGGTGTGGTAGCACATGCCTGTGATTCTGACTACTCAGAAGGCTGAGGCGGAAGGATCCCTGGAGCCCAGCAGGCGAGGCTGCGGTGGCCGGGAGCGGCCACTGCACTCCAGTCTGGGCGACAGAGTGAGACTCCAACTCAAAAAAAAAAAAAAGTAGTTATTATTATTATTTTAGCTTGAAACTCTAAAATGAGCTATGGATCCTTCTCTCCAATAACCTATTTGTACAAACTTTTACATTCAATTTTTGTAGAGACAGGGTTTTGCTTTGTTGCCTAGGCC